AGCAGCGGCTGACGCCAGTTCCGACTTACATACAGATTCAACTTAAGAACAAACCTACAGTCCCTATCTTGTACGTAACCCGGGGACTGCCTGTATGTACTATTTACAGTGAGAGAGATATGATGTAAATCCTGTTATCCCATAGGAACTTACTTGGAATTATTGTATGCTTGCTTGTGAAAGAGCAGATGCATATTTTATACAGCGGCTGACGCCAGTTCCGACTTACATACAGATTCAACTTAAGAACAAACCTACAGTCCCTATCTTGTACGTAACCCGGGGACTGCCTGTATGTACTATTTACAGTGAGAGAGATATGATGTAAATCCTGTTATCCCATAGGAACTTACTTGGAATTATTGTATGCTTGCTTGTGAAAGAGCAGATGCATATTTTATATTATTAAGATTTATGAATCATTTTAATTAAATAATAATTGGCAATACAGTTGTGAATAGTTCATTTGCAAGAATTAAACACGGTGGCTGTGTCTACATTGGCACCCTTTTCTGGAAAAGGGATGCTAATGAGACTAGTCGGAATTGCAAATGCCACGGGGGATTTAAATATCCCCCGCGGCATTTGCATGAACATGGCTGCCGCTTTTTTCCTGCTTGGGGCTTTGCCGGAGAAGAGCGCCAGTCTTGACGGGATCTTTCGGAAAATAAAGCCTTTTCCGGAAGATCCCTTATTCCTCTTAAAATCAGGAATAAGGGATCCCGTCTAGACTGGCACTTTTCTCCAGCAAAGCCCCGAGCCGGAAAAAAGCAGCAGCCATGTTCATGCAAATGTCGCGAGGGATATTTAAATCCTCCGCGGCATTTGGAATTCCGACTGGTCTCATTAGCATCCCTTTTCCGGAAAAGGGTGCCAATGTAGACACAGTCTGTGAGTTACTGGTGTTTAAGGCTTCCTGATTCACAGTTCATGCCTTTCCTTTTTCCCTGCCAAGAAGTCTTAGTTTAATGGGTAAATTCACTCTTGGCATAAGAAATCTCTTAATCAGATCCTCCTCTGGGGAACTAATTGCATTTACAGTGACCAGAGTGCTAGTTCAGCTGTAGGTTCTCAGCCCTCTGTCACAGAGGAGAACCTGCAGTGAAGTGTAAATAATAGAAAGGGCCGTATTCTGTCATCTTTTCAAATACATACCTGCCATTGAAGGCAACTGAAATATTGTGTACAAATTGATGGCAGGACTTGTGTTAAATTATTGTATGCTCAGCTCCTATTGATGTCAAAAGGAAGTATATTATATTTGTATAGATGATTGAATTTGGTCCTGTAAATCCAGTAGAAACATGAAGCCAAATCCTGTGGTCCTTATTCATTTCTTAGTCAGGGTGCGTCCACACTGCACCCTTAGCTTGAAATAAGATATGCAATTTGCACTACGCAAATTGCGTATCTTATTTTGATTCTTTTAGAAATAGGCTATTTTGAAATTTGGTTCATCTACACAGCGCCAAATTTTGAAATAAAACACTATTTCGAGACATCCCTGGTTCTCATGCAATGAGGTTTACTGGGATGCTGAAATAGCACGTCTGCTATTTCACAATAGCGGACGCATTCAAAAGACACGGGGTAGCTATTTACGGTATCCCGAAATAGTACTGCAGTGTATACGTACCCTCAGTCAAAGCTCTTACTGAAGTCCAGGGGAACATACTCAAGTAGGGATTACGCTATTTGTCACCATGCTGTCCAGTTCTCCCGCCCTCCTTCCCTGGGGTTTTTTTACAGCAAGATGTCTATTGTGTGTTAAAAGCGTAAGAGCAAGATGTCTATTGTGTGTCATATCTGCAAAAGAGTCAGCACACTAACAATTGGTGCTGACACCAGTGGCAGATGACTAACTAAGAAGTTTAATAACTGAATAAAGCCTAAATGATACAAAGCAAGGACATTCAAGGTCTTTTTAGTCTGGTATTCATCTGTAGGGAGAATGTTAGTGGGGAAGGGATGGACAAATATATTGTGAGTTACTTTACGTCTGTTTTACTTTGTAATTTTAACTGCTCTTTTAGAGTATCTTCCAAGTTAAACAGTGTCTTAATCATAATGTTATAAAGAAAGAGTTAACAATTTTCTTAATGACACTTAGCACTTTTATATTGCTGTAGATCTTCAAAATGCTTCACAAATGTTAATTAATTTAGAGTGATAGCTCTGAAGATGGAATAATTTATGTTGAATTTAAAAAAAAAATATTTTGCCAGGTTTCAGAGTGTATGGTAACTGTCTGATATGTTTTACAGCTACATCTGTGCGCTCTGTCCCAGATCCCACACTGTCCTCCTCAGACATCGAACAGATTTTACTTCAAAAGACAGCTGAAAAAGAAGGTGAACTTAAAAAAGCATTTCAGACAATTGACATTGATCAGGCCCAAACAGTCACAAAAGGTGAATTCAGAAGAGTGATTGAAACCTTTCTTTTCCCTCTGACACAAGCACAGTTTGATGCCGTGCTGGCACAGGTACGCTATGTGTATAATCACTTGGGGGCTGTTCTTATCCATGTCAATGGCAGAATTTCCTCTCAATTTCAATGGGAGCAAGCAAGTCTGGTATTATCAAAATGATGATAGATGGGCCCAAACCCTTTTGGCTTTAAGTGAGTCGTTCTAGTGACAACGATAAAATTACCTTTATGAGAAAAATAAACTAGATATGGCCATTTGTATTTCTTTTAAAGGATTCTGTCTGCATTCTTTCCCTCACTGACTGAAGAAGTTGCAATTCTTTACTAGATTTTGTGATAATAAATACAATTTTAATATAATGTAAAATGAATACAATCTTATTCCTGGAGAAAGATCAGATCGGAAACCTTTTGAGTGATGGTGGAACTTTCTTATTTGTATTGTAAGGAACTTAGTACACATTTGAGCAGTGTAAAATAATGAGTAATTGGATGAAGAATTGTTGTCTGTTCACCTCTTTTAAGCCATAGCTATAGTGGTTTATATCCTTTACAGACCACTGGTTGTACACACCGTTTGAGATTTCAAAACCCAATAGGGGATTTAGCTATGCAACACCCATTAAGTTCAAATGGAATTGTGAGGCTAACTCCTCTTGACGACTTTGAAAATCTTAACTTCTTTGTCCGTGGGGGTCTGTTTTCTAGTATTAGATCTATAAAGTTCTTATATATTGTAAAACCAATGTCAGTAACTTTATTGTGCTACAGCAACATTTAGAAACATGCAGTGAACTGCATGCACATTCAAGCCCCTGTTTATAGTTGCTTTCAACATAGCTACCATTTCCCCCCACTGCTTATAATGAGTAGAAGATGGATTTTTTAGTCTTCTGGAGTTCCAGTCCTGACCCATTTCCTGTAGCCATGAAGTTCTGTCCTAAGGTTTCACAGATTTTAGGTTTTATATCCTTTCCAAACATGCTTGTTTGTTGATTTTCATATATATTGAGTTGTTAGAAGGTATTGTTTTCACATTTTAAAAATATAGCTCTCTGAAAAGAGAGCACCAATTTCAGTTAAAAAGTAAGTAATTAGGGTCCTTGATGATACCAAATAAGCAATAGGTGGATCACATATGTATGTGAAACACCTTACGTATGCATGTGGTACAATAGAAAGATTGTTTCATCAGTTGGATTAGACAGGATATATTTTCACACATCATCACAGAAGATCATAGAGTTAGTGTCAGAGAAAGACCCACATGATCCTCAAAACTTGGTCTCTTGTAAGCATAGAATATATCCTCTTGCTGGAGCTTTTATCAGATATAAATTGATACTTTATTTGAGCCTAGACAAAAGGTGAAAAGAAATGACATACAGTACATGCAACAAAAGAGAGGGTCTCAGAAGGGATTTTTGCATTTAAATAGTTAACTAATAATGCTAGTGAATAATTCTTTTTTTAGTTCATGAGATTTCATTATAGGATTTATCTAGAAATCCGTTCATTTAACACACTTTTTATTGAAATGTAGATTCCGATGACTAGCAAAGTTACCATACCATATCTTGACTTCCTGGCCAAGTTTACTAGGGTTGCCAAAAGTAACAGCATGCAAAGAAGGTAAGAGCTTCTTATTATGTAATCCCGTTATTTGCAAACTGTGATCATAGATCATTTGCTAGCATCTGCAGAGAGCACACTGGTTAAATAGCTCTAGCTCTCTGTTTCTATCTATCTGTTACATTGTGTTACAAACAGATCCAGGTACATTAAGTATTTTCCAAATATTGCTTTTCCACATAAACAATTGGTTATATGACCACTAAAGGGAGAGGAAGTAGTCTGTCAGTAGTCTGCATTGCTCTTGTAATGCAAACATGTAGCGCTTCAAGCCTAATTGGTATATTCTGTGAACTAGCAGAAGGTATAATTGAGTATAAGAGAAGTTAGATGTGAATTGAGGCTAAAACTTTTTTAGGGATACTCAAAAAATATCACTCAACTTGCAGGATTCAGTGTATGTCCAAGACGCAGTCTGGGGCACTCATAAGCATTATTCTGCCAGGAAAGTTAAAATGTGGTAGGATTCATGCCTTCAGTGTAAATAAAACTCTCTGGAGCTTCACTTTCAGCCTTCTTTATTTCTGATATAAATCACTTTCACTTATAAAGGTGTGTGGAGGTACCAGTTTTGTGGGGTAGATAGGCAATTTGGGCATTAAAATGAGTGCCTTCCTTTCACATGAAGCACATTTGAGAGGTATAATCATAGAATAGGAGAATACTAGGACTGGAAGAAACCTTGAGAGGTCATCGAGTCCAGTCCCCTTCTCTCAGTACCATACTGTATATTATATTTTAAAACAAATCCTAGTAGCTTTCCTCCAAAAGTGACAGAGGAATGACTCTGCTATGGGATCCTTATGGAGATTTCCTTTTAAATATTCCCTCTCCTGCAGGTTTGATTGTGAGGCCAGATTATTCAGGCTCTGAGAAACAGTTGCCTTATTCTACAGATTCTGACACAGCTTTTACAATCAAGTGTAAAGTTAACAAACCTCCCAGAGAAAGAGGGAGAAGCAACAATGGGAGTAGTTGAAAGGAGGCAGGAGGAAGGCAGAGGAGGAGAGGAAGAGAGGCAGAAAATAGAAAGAGGGAATGTAGGGATGCTGTCTTCAGAGAAATAAAGGAGCTTTACAAAAAATGTGATTAATTAGAAAAAAATAATTAGAGAGTAAACCATCACGCACAAAATGAAGGGTTAATCCTTTTTCACATCATGGAAAAAATAACAAATAGGCTATATGTGGGGCCTATTAATTTCATGTGGAATCTGAATGATTTTTGTTCATAAACTCTTGGTTTATACTTGTGAAAGAAAACAGAGAATAAAGCCTATGATTAGAAAATGCTGCATTTTGACCAATTACTTGTAAAGGTGTATTATAACTATATGCAATGTATGTCAGAAAATGTGAAGCAAAAATAAATGTGGGACAGTTGTAGCTTAACTTACAAGAGTTTGCCACTGGGGGGCAGTACAGGTGCTGTTTTTACATAGAAAATGTTTTAAGAGGGAGCTTAGGGTCTGTTTCTGCCCTGATTTAAAGCCTATGTAATCTTAGCGAACCCAATAGGTGTAAGTTAGGGCGGAATTTGATGTTTAGCAATCAGTCCTTGAAATACAGACACGAATACTTTCTTGTATAAGGTTTTGTAGGGTCTAGTTGTTAGGGGAAGAGCCTGGGAAAACAGGAATTTAGAATGTCATATTCAATGAGAAAAATAAAACTTGTTAATTGTTAACTGTGAAAACGTTGTTCTCTGTGCTTTGGATGTAAGTAATGGGGGAAGTAAAAGTGAAAGTAGGGTTATTCTTTTTCTAAAAGACCTTGCATGTTAAAAGATAATTGACAATGATTCTTTAAATACAAAGGGTTAGATCAGGTTAGCTCCTGGTAGGTCCCAACACCACCGTATTTACCTGCTCTTCCGCAGGTACAGGGGATAGCAGCTCCTGTTGGCTGTGGACCACAGTTCCCGGCCAATGGGAGCAGAAGCACAGGCAAATATAATGGCAGCGGCCCACCAGGGGCTAACTCTAGTGAACCGCTGCTGTTTCATTGCCCACCGCTGGGCTAGATCCTCATTTAGGCTGACGAGTACTTGATGCAGCTGGGCATTGAGGTACAGACTTGTCCTTGGTGCTCACCTGTTTCTAGGATTCTTGTGGGTGTCACTCTTGTTCCCTGGCCCAGCCATGCTGCCAGTGGCACCACAGGACTGTTATAACAGCTGGGATTGCTTAGGCACCAGAAAACTATACAGTTGTCCTCCAGCCACATCCTCCACATTGTCAGCCAGAGTGTAGGAGCTAGAGCGTCTGTACATTGTTCAAGAATCCACTTGCACAGGGAGATCATCTGAGAGCTGGACCGCCAGATTTAGTGCTACCTCGTGCCAGTGGAGCAGTGTTGTGCAGCCAGGCCTGGAGCCCTATTTAGACAAAACCCTCACCAAGGGACCATTGTTTGTCTATAACAGTAATGCTGTGCATTTTCCTTATGTCTAATCCTTTTGCTACTATTATTTATTTTAGATGGAATGGTAGCCAAGGCGACCAAACCATGACATTAAGTCAGCTGGAGTCCCTCTTAAAGGAAAAGGTACCGTTGCAGTGGATAGTAACAAACTAATTGCTTAGACAAAACCCTCACCAAGGGACCATTGTTTGTCTATAACAGTAATGCTGTGCATTTTCCTTATGTCTAATCCTTTTGCTACTATTATTTATTTTAGATGGAATGGTAGCCAAGGCGACCAAACCATGACATTAAGTCAGCTGGAGTCCCTCTTAAAGGAAAAGGTACCGTTGCAGTGGATAGTAACAAACTAATTGCTAAAATCGTTATCTACTTTATAAGTTAAGTTGTGACATTATATAAATGGTACTGATACTCTCAATTCTAGATGTTGCTGGGTTGCTGGATTCATTTAAGAGTTGGATTTATTTAAGGGGCCTGATTCTTCACTGTAGTGTGTCATGGGTAATTAAATTTGTGGAAAGTTGTAAAAAAAAAAAAAAAAAAAAGGCTACCAAATTAGAACAACAGCATTTACTTTGTATGAAAGTAAATACATGGTGTGGATAATCCAGCCTAAGATCTCTGGAACCATGTCATATGGAAAAAAAGTCTGGTACCTTCTTTTGATGGTAATAGTTGAATGGCTATGTGTAAATTAGATTTTTCTCTGATGGAAGGAAAGTCCAAATCAGTGTAGCATTCTTTTTATTATAATTGGACATCAATAAAGCCAATCAGAGATACCCGATAGTAGCAAATATTTGTCCTGTCACAGAACTCAACAGAAGAGTATTCTGTGCCCTTTGGAGCATCATGTGTTGTGTCTCGTCCCACCCAAAGATTTTCATGTAAACAAAAAGCATCCCCAAACATAGCCTTATGCAGATCCTGCCCCCTGCACTACTTGGCACAGTCATGGCACATATGTTGGGAGGGTACAATTAAATCCTTCCTGTTTTATAACTTCTATTGCAATCTCAAGGCTGCAGTAGCATCGTCAGCCCATGCACCCCTTTTATATGGTGGACATATGAATACATATATTTTCTCCAGTCTTGAGTAAAATATTAACATATCGCAGAGCTGTTAGGACAGATTGTACCCAAGACAATCTTTCCTCACTGCAAAAAAGCCCATCAATCATAGCTGAATATAGTTATTATTAATGTCATAGCTTTTATTCATTTGGCTATATGCAACTAACTGGAGAGTAACATTTACATTTTCATGTAGAGTATGTCATTTCACAAAAGAAACAGATTAGATATCTTCTTATTACAAAATTTATGAATTGAAAATATCCCCCAAAGTCCTAATTAGTGTTCTGGTACACTTAATTTACCAAGTTCTGTGCTATATTTTAAGAACATTCTGAAACAGAGGTGATACGTATATTCAAATACAGTAATAGAAAAGGCTACTTAAAAGTAAGGTTATGGCTACATATATATTCCAGGACAATTTTAGTTAATAATCCCAAGCATTTCAAAATATGGGAACTAATTAGGGAAACAGATAAATGTTCAGATACACTTAGAATTCATACAACCTTTTAATCAATTATTCACTTGTAAAATGGCACATTGATTATTCCCAAACCAAACTTTATTCTGCCCCTGTATAGGTGTCCATCATTCAGAGACACATCTGTATCACTTACTGTGGTTTATGGGAAATTGAGCACACATATTTCTAAAAATTGTGTCTTTAATGCCATTTTTCTTTATCTGTAAAACCAAGGATAATAATTCTCACCTGACCAAGGTACTTTGATGGTAAACACATGCATGCTTGGAAAACACGTTGAGATCCTCAGATGGAAGGTTCTATAGACAGTGTTGTTATAACGAAATACATGTTGCTGCAGACAGTGCAAGAGGGTGGACTACATGGGTATGTCTACACTATCACCCTAGTTCGAACTAGGGTGGTAATGTAGTCAACCGGAGTTGCAAATGAAGCCCGGGATTTGAATTTCCCGGGCTTCATTTGCATGTTGCCCGGCACCGCCATTTTTAAATGTCCACTAGTTCGGACTCCGTGCCGCACGGCTACACGCGGCATGGACTAGGGAGTTCGGACTAGGCTTCCTATTCCGAAACGAGGAGTAACGGTAGTTCGGAATAGGAAGCCTAGTCCGAACTCCCTAGTCCATGCCGCGTGTAGCCGCGCGGCACGGAGTCCGAACTAGTGGACATTTAAAAATGGCGGTGCCCGGCAACATGCAAATGAAGCCCGGGATTTGAATTTCCCGGGCTTCATTTGCAACTCCGGTTGACTACATTACCACCCTAGTTCGAACTAGGGTGGTAGTGTAGACATACCCCAGGACCGATTGGATATTCTATCTAATCTAAGCAATTTGGTGACACAATAATAACCACTTTTATGATTGGTCTGAGGGTAGGAGAGCGCCTTTGCCTGCCCGCACCTCCTTCCCCCTAGGTGCCCATGCCCCTGGCTGGGAGGAGGCTTCGCGTGCTGTGCTCCCTTGTCTCCAGGCCCTGATTGGCCTGGGGGTGGGGGAGCGTGGGAAGTCTCCTCTCACCCTGCCAGGAGTGCGTGGCACTTCTAAGTGCCATGTGCTCCTCACAGGGCAGGACCAGCATGGAGGAAACTTTGTGTACTCCTCCGCCCCTAGGCCCTGATTGGCCTGGGGGCAAAGGAGCGTGCAAAGCCTCTTTCAGCCCTGCCAGGAGTGCATGGCACTTTTAAGCGCTGTGCGCTGCTTGCAGGGTGGAGACAGAGTGGAGGAAACTTTGCACGCTCCCCCGCCCCCAGGCCCTGATTGGCCTAGGGGCGGGGGAGTGCATGAAGCCTCCTCCAGCCCTGTCAGGAGCACCTGGCGCTTCCAAGCACTACGTGGTCCTGGCAAGGTGGAGGAAACTTTGCGCGCTCCCTCTGCCCCCAAATCCTAATTGGCCTATGGGTGGGGAAGCAGCAGGGCTCCCGTAGACCGGATCCACCCACTTGGCAGGCTGGATCCGGCCCACAGAGGCCCTTTTGCCCACCCCTGTGATATTTCATTGGGTGCTCCTGCAGAACAGGGTTTTGTGCCACACAGTGGTGCCCACTTCCTGTACCCCAATCCTGGGAATAGAATGTCAAGGCACTGCATAAAGTGAAAGAGGTCCCTTTGCACAATGGAGGTTCACCAGGTTAGCTGCCAAGAGAGCTCCATAGCCTCAAAGTCAGGGGCAGGATTTTCTCCTTACTCATCCAAAAGCACAAGGGAGGAAATATTGATTCAAAGGGTAAAGGGAAAAAAAAGGGATTAAAAAAAAGTTAAATTCCAGGAAAAAGAAAGAAAGAAAGAAAGAAAAAGACATGAACCAACCACTAGAAAAAGCAACTTTCTAAGAAGGCATGTGAGGGTACAATGATGGCTCCATATGCATTTATGCATCATGTTTACATTTAAGCGTCTCACTGCTAGATGCTATATAGAGATGTATGTGCATAAGTATTCATACTAACTGATCCTTAGTTTTGGACCTAAACTGCTAGTGTCTCCTTCAAGGTAAGCAACATACTGAGTCTGATTCTCAATTACACTAAGATGCCTCTACACTCCAGTAAAGTGTGGTACAAAGAGGCCTTAAAGTGCACATAAATATATTACACGGACTTTTAGGGTCCCTCTAAATAGCTAGAGTATATATAATGCCTTAAAATAAATGAGAATTAAGCCCAGTATTTCTTCCCCACTCCCCACTTTTCTACATCCCTTCCCCCACAAATTTTTGATTTTATGTTTATGAGGCTCTGAAAATAGTCTAATTCTTTTCTATCTGGTTTGGCCTATCTCTACCAGCTGGTAAATAGGAAATGTTCACCGTAGGAAGCCAATACTCTGCAGAGTGTAAACAGATGGAATCAATATAAAGTGACAAGTTAGACTGTGCTACTGAGAATACAGAGCCAAAACTAAGAGCATAACAGTCACGATACTTATTTTGTTCCAATTCATTTGGTACTGAATAGCACTTCATATATGCACAGCTGTGTCCTTCCGTTTTTTACTTTCTTTCTTCTGGTTTGTTGATGACAATTTCAAAGAAAAACTTTAATTAAAGATTTTACACAAAATGGCCCAAAGTAGAATATAGGGAAAATGAGCACTGATGTGTTTATTGCAAGAGAAGAATTTTTTCATGCTTTTATTTTTCCTTTTTTTTTAAACAAAGCAAAAAAAAAAAAAAAGTGTCCAGTACTTGAAATGTGCTGGATTGACAGCATTGAAGGATGAAGTCTTCTGTTTGTCTGCAAAGCAGACAACAGATTGAGCTGTGTCTGTGAAAGCTTACTAACCCTGCCCTTTCTGTAGACCTGTTCTGGAGAGGCCACCCTCCAGGGGTAAGAAGATAGTTACATTTTCAAGCCCATTCCAGGGTAGAATGTGTGTATGTCTGCATGCATGTGTGGGCTGAGGGACAGAGGATGCCAGGATTCAGGATTGCTTCAGTCCAGTATTGGTAACCTCCCCAGAAGGGCTGTGGAAACGGTGGGTTATGGCCTTTCTTGCCCTGTATGGATGATAGACTTTGGCTTCTATAGAGGAAAGCACATCTTGCACTCTGTAAAAGCGTGATGCACAAGCTGTGTTTCTCTGGGAACTGCTGCAGAGGCAGGGTGCTTCCAAGCTACCCCTGCTGCAGGCTGTGTGTTAAAGGGACAGGTGAGTTTTAATCCTTTTGCCGCTGAAAATGACAACCTGACGATGTTTGACAGATTTTCACTAAAATGAGGAGGCAGTCAGGAGACCTGGATTTAAATGCCAATCCTGCCACTGACTCATTCCTCATTGTACAGTTCTGTAGAATAAGCAGTTGCCACTCTTACATTTTTGCTGTTTTTGCTTCAGATAAATAGGTAGTTCAGTACTTGCCATCCCCCCTACATTATCGGGTGTCTGCTATAAAGAGGAGCAGCAACTGGTTGTTGGCACCTTGTAGAATTTCCTTCAGATTCTTTTGTAAGTGGGGAGTAGCTTTTGCTACCTGCAGAAGCCATGGGTTTCAGATTCCTCTCTCCCTGTCTCTCCCAGTCTATGTAAGGGAATCTCACAAATATGCTCAGAAGACCATTCCAGCATTTTGCATTCCCTGAACAGCATGCTTCCTCTATGAATTGTGCTAAAATGGGTTCACTTGTCCTGTGGATTCCCCTGAAACTCCTTTCAGGGTTGTTCCATACTGTATGGGGAAGGTCCTGTAAATTAGTGTAGAAAGATGCAGATGGGGTGTGGGGATGGGGAGAATGCAGTGCAGACCAGTGAACCCTCACCATCTTCCTCTGCTTGCCCTGTCAAACATTCAGAAGTGAAATTTTATGTTCACCATGTAGAGCAGATTCCACAAAATTAGTGAAAAGGAAGGAGAATATTATGCAGTTGGTACCCTACAAGCTCAGATGCATGGGTGTAGGCTCTCTTTGGAATGCATATGTTGAGGGACATATGGGGGTTATTAAAGATTATTAATAATTATATTGCTATCAAAATACACTAGTGTGGTTAGCCTCATATTTGGAGGTAGAGTACTTCAGACTTTGTTGGGTAATCTGTGGTCTACATAAAACTCTATTTAGAACTCCCTGTGTCTGGTGCAAGATGTGATTTGCACTTAATTTTTTTTACACATCAAACTGTAAGAAAATACTTTAAACACCTAGTACTCCAATAGCTGCCTTTGATCCTGAGGGATCCCCCAGTGTAACCCCATCTACCTACTTGTAACTGATGAAATGCAGTCACTTCTGGGGTGAAATATTGTAGTCAACTGGCACACACTAGTAGCAAGAGAGACTCTGATGGTGAGATGCCAAGACAAGGTCCTATTGTAATGAAAAGTATGATGGGCTCATTAATGTCTAATGAGAACAAAAAGAACTAATTTTGGAATAGCTGACCCATGTCAGTGATCAGCTGAAATATCCTTATTTAATTGTGACAGGATCCCTGGAATACAACCTGGAACTGGAGTACTGATGTATCCCCTTTATCTCTCCAGCCCAAACTGTCTCTCACAATGCTTTACAAGTGACTACCTATGACCTCCCTTCTCCCACCTCTCAGTGCTATTATCACTCAGTAGAACAGCACATGGGAGTCCCACATGCAACTACGGTGTGTGACTTCTCCCTGCAACATTCACAAATCACACTGAGAAAGGCACCAGCATATCTTGCAAGCCCCCAGCATTGCACTCTGGTCAGAACTGCATTGTCTTGACCTGGTTAGGAGCCTGACTAGTATAAGTTCAAAAGCTTCAGCGGGTAGCTGAGTAGCACCATACAGGTAAAGCAGCAACACCAGGCTCTGCCATCATCTCTACATTAAGATTTAAAAAAAAAAAAAAAAAAAAAATCTTCTGCAGTGGAATTTAACTGACCCATAAAATGTGTCAAGAATAATAAATGTTTGCTTCTCCCCCTGCCCCTACTTCTCCTTTATTTATTTTAGTTCTGGACATCCAACACTCTGGTAATCTGAAGAAGTGGGCTGTGCCCACGGAAGTTCATGATACCATCTACGTGTTTTGTTAGTCTTTAAAGTGCTACCAGACTATTGGTTGTTTTTTAAGTTTATAGTATAAGTTCATTACCCAGACTGCACCTGCCTTAATGCAGAGAGGACACACACTAGCCTTTGCAACCTGATCTGAGATTCTCCAAGCCTTTTTGACAAAATACACCATTTTATGTAAAACGTAGAACAGATTTATTAACTACAGAAAGATGATTTTAAGTTTGAAGACACAAAGTCAGAGATAGTTACCAAAGAAAATAAATAGTTAGTGCGCAGTCTAAATCCTAGACTTTATTAGATTGAACAATATTTGGCTAGAATCATAGAGTTGGAAGAGACCTCAGGAGGTCATTGAGTCCAACCCCCTGACCAAAACTGGTTCAAACAGTTTTTCTCACCCCACTAGATGTTGCAGGTTTTCCCTTTAAGCCTGGGACCAGTCTCCTCAGTTCAGGTATTAGTTTCCCCAGCATTCTTGTTCCTTCCAATGTGGGTGGGAGAGGAGAAGAGTGCTCTCATGATGCCATTGACTCTTATTTTATACTTTTACTCCTTGTCCCTGGAAAGAAACTAGCCCAGGCATGCCTGGTAGTAGGCCTTGATGAGTGATAGACTTGAGCAATCCTCATTGTGTGGTGTTTCTTCTACAGAGTTGTAAATCCTTTGTTTACAGCTCCCCTGTTGATGAATGGTCGTTTAATATCCTCCTGGGTTTCATCACTTCCTTTGTTGTCACTGGAGAACTAACAATGAATGACTCCAAAACTTACGATGTATTTCAATAACAACCATACAGCAACATTTCTTCATAAACACTAATGATATACATATTTTGACAGAACAATGGGTTTCAGCAGATTATGGTTTTTAAAATGATACCTCACAAAGCATCCATTGTACAAAACATAGGATTATATGCCAATGATGAGTATGGGAGATCCAGGATTTCTCTTTGAGGCACAGTGTGTCACAGTAAGTAAATTCCATGGGGTTCAATTTAACTTACAAGGTTGAAGGGCTGAGTTAAACCCAGGAAAAGAATCTCGCTGTCTTTCTCTCCTCCTCCTACTGCCTCCCCCCTCTCAGCTCTCCTTCGCCTCCTGCCTCTCTCTCTGTCTCTCTCTCTTCTCCTCCCCTCCTGCCTCTCACTCGGAGGACCGCGGAGCCCGAACCGTAAACCTTTCCGCAGACCACCAGTTGCGAATGGAAACTCACCATGAATTACATAATTACACCCAAGCCATTTTGCTAGTGCTTCAGCTAGGGAGAATGGTTTAATTTAAATTATCATATATATAGTAGCCCAATGTCTGTGACTCTGTAACAGTGTAACACTCAGTATTGCCTCTGGGCGGCGCTGTTGCCTCTAATATCCTTCACCTTTCGCCGTGGCACTTGGCTGACTTTTGCGCCGCTCAGCCGGGCCGCCATGGGGGAGGAAGCATCCCAAGTGGCCATTTGGGCTCCCCCGCGGCGGCCCGGCTGAGCGGCGCAGAAGTCAGTTGAGCGCCCCAGCGGAAGGCGAAGGGGGGGCGGGACGGTGACGTTCACGGCCAGGGGGCAGGGCCTGGAACTATTGTCATGCCGCACATTACCACCCTGCCCCCCCAGAGGCAACACCAAACGCTACAGTGTTACAGAGTCACAGACATTGGGCTACTATATATATATATGATACAGTGAAATGAACTTGGCTAAAAAAAAAAAAGCATGCTTTTCAGTTTATCTAAAGTGCAGGTCCCGTTAGTTGTCAGAAAGCCTTGAAACAATAGGGGTAATTGGAGAAATTGGACCTGGAAGATAACTGATAAGATGCGAGCAAAATTCCTCGTAGACATTCTAGCTACTAAGAGTGGCTCAAATGGATTTAAACGAATTCAGTCAGGTAGGGTCTAAAAACAAAGACATAGCAGGTTGAGGGTTCAACCTACCCTGTCCAACTGGAACCGGTGCTGTTGTAAATATCTGATCCATACTTATAATTGCATGTTACTATATGGGTGTGGTTATTGCTTAGGCAGTTAAGACATGTTTGGAGCAGCTGTATAAATATCATATGGCCTTTGGATTTAATAAAGCAATTTATGATTAAATGAGTGTCAAGGTAATACCATCTAGTATTAATAAATAATAATAATTCTAGCTACCCTGCCTGAGAGTGTAGTTGATGTTAGAGAAAATTGCTGAGTGTCAAGTATGCACACTTCACATCCACTACAACGTGTGACAAGATAGCCAATAAGAGAAGACAGCGTGTTTGGCAGGTCAAGAGGACACAAAAGTGGCATCAACTAGTGCTACACTACCCTATTCTGGTCGCAGCCAGCTCACTTAACCAGAAAGCATGTCTGTACTCAAACCTATTTGCTGGTGAAAGTACCCAAGGAAAAGACAGACAAAAACAGTAAAGATTAGTTTTCAAAATGTACAAACCATAATCTGCTCAACAATCCCAAAACCACAGTGTTCAAGAGGATGTATTCTTCCAAACACAGATGCTTAACAGACAGTCTGAAAATTAAACTGATTAAGGTTAGACAACAATATAACAACATTAAATGGAACTCAGCAGAGACTTTGCTTTAAAAAAAAGCTCAAGAAACAATATCTTTGGCATTGGTTTAGGCAAGAGCAGGCGTGGGCAATCATTTTTGATGGGAGGGGGGTACACCAAGAATTTGGAAAGTGGTCAAGGTCCATATTCTTCTAAGATGTTAATGGAGAAGGTGCAGCTTCTGGATGGAGGTTGGGTGCAGAAGGGAGCTCGGGTTAGTGGACTAGGGTTCAGGAGGGGATGTAGGGTCTGAGCAGGGGTGTAGAGTCTGGGAGGTTGTGACTTGGGGTGCAGGTGCAGAGGGTTTGGTCTGTTACTTGGGGCAGGGAGTCAGTGTAGTAGGGGATGGGTGTCAGATGCATGCAGCTTATTTTAGACTGCTCCAAGCCAGCGGCCCAGCCCTGTACTGTCTCCATGCCAGATGCCCCTTGGGGGGAATGGGCCCTTTGCATGCTGCTTGTGCCCAGGCAGCTCCCATTTTCTGATTTCCAGCCAGTAGGACCAGCAAGATTGTGCTGGGGTTGGGGAAGTGTGCAAAGCCCCTCCCTCCAAGGGCACACAGCATACAGAGATATCCAGCCTGCAGCCCAGTGCTATGAGCAGCGTGTCAGGGTACTGCAGGCAGGGAACATGCCCGAAGCTGCTGCTGGGCTGCAGGCTGGATATCCAAACACTGAGTTACTTGGGGCTGCAATGGCAAACTTGCCAGCAGCAGGAGTTTCACACCCAAGAACACAAATAGACGTGTGCAACTTGAACCTTCGATAAATTATAAAGAAATTCTTGACTGAGTCCAGCAGCAATTATAAGCCTACAGTTTTGTTCTCGTCATGAAGCTGAATGGAAAGTGCTGCTAGTAACATTGAAGAAAATCTTTTTGTAAAGAGAAAGGATACTCAAATGCTTTGCAGCAACACTCCAGTAAGCGCAGCAAGAGCTTGCAGCCTCCCAAGATCTTCACTGCCACCACTTCTAGCACAGGCTGGCTGGGAACAACACGCTCCCCTGCATTTTCAGATTTCTTTTTCCTACAGTGACAGCAGAGTGAGGAGATGGTGGTTACACTTAGCATTTCAAATTTTCTTCCCAAGTTTTTAGCGGCTTGGAGGTAATGCTGACTGAGACCTTGACTACTCTACAAAGTCAGTGCATACATCTATTCTTAAATGTGTGTCCCACCAACGTAAGCGCCCCGTTATGGCAACGCAGTCACACTGTGTTGCCGGGCGTCGCTGATATATGATCAAAACTAGAGATATTAAAAACTGTGTAATAGGATAACCATGTAACCACTGAAAATCTCATGCAGCTTAGCTTTATACGGCAGAGCCCGCAGTGAAGCCTCCTCGGGAATGAAGCAGGCAGCCCTTGCCTGCCCAACTCCTGGAGAGGATGCTTCACAGAGTAACCGACACCATTAACTAATAAATATCACTTATCGGTTAAAAAGTAAATCGTTTACAACTTCAGAAGCCAGAGGAGTAAGATGTAGAATCACTACAGGCACTTCAATATTGCCAATGGTAAACGGCTGGTTGGGAAACAAAATGCCTGCTTGTAGCTTTCTGAACAGTCCTGTGTTCTTAAAGATACAAGTGCCATGGACCTTCTAAGAGCAGGCAACACTGATGTTGGTGAAGCATCTTTAGTGATCCCCAATGCTTGTATAATCATAGAAAAGTTGTTGACGTCCTCTGTGGCCAGGTGGTCTGGTACCAAAACAGGGAGATACATGCTATCTATTGCTCCACTGCAGTTCGGGAATCCCACTACTGCAAATCTCCCCCTCCCCCATCCTACACATTGCCAAGAGTCAGTCCTGCGCAGCAGGAGAGGATTAATGATCCTGCATGCTTGCACGACAATGGTCCCTTGCGTGGATTTTCAAACTGCACAGTGGTTTCCCATTCACTGGTGGCAATTCAGCCTTGCAGGTTTTCTCGGTGTGATTGCCAGCTCTCGTTTTGTGCTGGAGAGATGGGTCGAGTTCAAGACGCAGATTCAGGAAAGTGGCCGTTTGCATCCAGAAGTGCTGCAGCCGCTGTTCATCATATCCAACTTGTATTACAATGAGATCACAGCAACCAATGCTTCTCTCCGAGGCCCAGAAGCGGCTCTCTACCCTCTGCAGCTGCTCCATGAATGACCCTAGCAACCTTAAGTTCTGTCCCACTGCAATCTCTCCTTCAAGAAATCATCATCATCTTCCTCTCTGATTTGGTGGCTCTTATGGCTCTGCAAATATTGGAGGATCGTGTGCCCTGTACTTCCAACACGGATGACAACAGCACAGAGCTGTACAGGCTTCTGTCAGAGATGGTGGACAGTGAGGATGGCTGTACAGTTTCATGGGTTTAAGACAACATTATGGGATACAGATGACACTTTGTGATGGAGACAATTGCACATTGAGAAGCTGAGCCCTTGTTCCCAGGCACTGCTGCACATCTCATTTCTGCCTCCACCATGTATTGCCAAGACTTTCCAAGAGACAAGTTGGATGGTGGCAGGCTGCTCACGAGGATACCTGCACAGTGCGATGGACCCTGGGTATTGACACAAACGCTCCTGGTAAGCATGCACAGAGACGATTCTAGGAGCCAAATATCTATGTACATAAACAATATACTATCTAAGACAGCTTTATGCCAATGACTTGTGTCCACCAAAGCTTGTAGTATAGACATGGCTTAAGATACTGAATCATGGAGAGACGTGCTAAAATATACAGTTTCATGCAACTTACTTGGGACACAATTCTGCCAGGTCTTGAATGGAGCCCATCAAGCTCATCTGATTTAAACGCTTTAAGCACTGTTCGACCTAAAAAGAGAACAACCACCTTTTGTTGATATTTTCAGAAAAACATGTTTCTTAGCCTAAGAGTTGTCCATTAAATTAGGCAACATCTCCCCTTCTCAGCCTGCCAGAGATAGTATGTCAGCCTTCTGGGTCTCTTACATTGGTACATTCAAATATCCAAAAAATGGTGGTGGGCTCTCTCCATGACATTATTGTGACAGGCCTTTACCCTGGAGCAAAGAGATTGTCGATTAATGCTGATTCTGTAGGTCGCATGTTGTTATTTTGGAGATTTAATTAAATTTTCACAAATAAAAATGCAAATGACTTTAGAAGGAGGCAAAATGACAAGTGGATACATGGGAATTCAGAAAACCTGGGTTGTAGCCTCAATTTTGTTAGAAAAATTAACAGAATGCTTCATTAGATAGAACACCACCACTTTTAAAAAATATTGAGAATATTCAGCAAAAATATTCAGCTTCACTTTTTAACGACCCCTTAAAAAAAAACTCAGTTCTTTCTCAAGGATAGCTTGCAGAAGTTGTCTTTCAAAGGCAATTTTTGGATTATTTACCCCATCCATTATAAATGTACCACCACTGTTTGTATTTCTATTCTTAATGAACTCTAAGAAGCATGAAATGGATAAAAACATCTAATTAGATTTATTTAACATCTTAATTTGAACACAAAGATTCTGAATATTGCTCTTATGGAAAAAAAAGTGACGTCTGTCCCTCTCTCTTCTCCCCCCCTCCTGCCTCTCACTCGGAGGACCGCGGAGCCCGAACCGTCGCTTGCGCCACTTGCTCCTGCGTGGTAGCCTGGCTGAGCAGCGCAGAAGTCAGCCAAGTGCCACAGCGGGAGGCAAAGGGGTGCGGGGCGGTGACGTCCACGACCAGGGGGCAGGGCCTGGAGCCGCTGTCACCCCGCACATCACCGGCGCAGAAGTCAGCCGAACGCCATGGCAGGAGCCGAGGGGGGGCGGGACGGTGATGTACACGGCCAGGCCCCACTCCCTGGCCATGTGCGTCACTGCCCCACCCCTCTTCCTGGAACAGCCAGCATTTCAGCAACAGCACCCCTCAGAGGGAACAGCCAGCATTTCAGCAACAGCACCCCTCAGAGGGAACAGCCAGCATTTCAGCAACAGCACCCCTCAGAGGGAACAGCCAGCATTTCAGCAACAGCACCCCTCAGAGGGAACAGCCAGCATTTCAGCAACAGCACCCCTCAGAGGGAACAGCCAGCATTTCAGCAACAGCACCCCTCAGAGGGAACAGCCAGCATTTCAGCAACAGCACCCCTCAGAGGGAACAGCCAGCATTTCAGCGTTACAGACTCTCAGACACTGGGCTACTATATATATATAATTTATTGTGTTGTCTTAATTCTTCATATTAACAAAAGGGAATTTTTATGAGTAAAACCAGCTTTCCCTCCTCTTTGTCTTCATCCAAAACAATAACAACAACAATCCTATCCCTTTTCATCATTCTGCCTGTGAATATCTGTCAAATTCCAGTCGTACCCTGACTTTATGTCATGATTCTGCCTACTTTGGACTAGGTTGTGGGTCCTTTATTAATATTGATGGGCAGTTATAACCATAGATCATTCCATTGAACTCATGGGATTAACTGCTCAGCTGCGGAGACAAGGGGTTCACAATGGCAAAGTTCCTATTGACTTCAGAAAGAGCAGGATTTCGTGTAACGTTTTGCTATTTTATACTCCTGCTAGCATGGTATAGCTGGATTCTATTCTAGCTCATGTACCATCATCAGAACAGGTAGTTTATTTCAATTTGTAGAATCTCTGTTGTTACTCCTGTTGTGTAGAACACAACTTGACTTTCAATTCCTAGCTTGAATTTGAAGGAGTCAAAAAGAGCAATATTTTTAAGCAAACTTTTCTTACTTGTAAACTGAGCAAAAATTGACCCTGAAGTAATTGAAAAATAGCTTGGAACCCTACCCTCTCATGTTTCAGTGTATAACTGCATTTTCAGGGTCAGACTTTGCATAGGTTTTTAACATGGTCACAGAAAGGGACTGCACTTGTATATGTCACCACCTTCACTAACAAAATCCCATGTTTTCTTTTTTCACCCTCAAACATGCCCTCTGATTTTTAGTAATTATTTGAAGTGGGGGAAAAAAAGAGATTCATTCCATTTTATGCAGAAAACTAATCATTTGTTGATAGCTAATAAATATAAATTATAATTTTGCAGTATTTAGTTTCTAACCAAACACTAGGTTTTCTTTTATGTACTGCCTGAAAGGAATGAGTTATATTTGAAACTCGTTGCTTTATCTTAAAAGGTTTTTAACTGTACCAAAAACCATTTACCCACTGTGATCAAAAAGGCTGTTTATTTGTTTTTGTGTTACATTGTTGGAAAAAGTATAAAATGCCATTTTTGATATTGGTATAGCTGTCCAGTGCTTGAGTTTCAGGTTACATCAATATTTTTCTTTTTTACTTAGATCATTTATAATTTACAGATTTCAAAGAATTTGAAAAGCATCGTCAAGACTTGTAGACTTTTTGACTATAACCGAACAGGACAAATACAGAGACATGAGCTAAGACGGATCCTTGAGATTAGTTGTTTCAGGATGAAGGATGCAGAGTATGAAAAGTAAGTAAGGAAATAGTCCAAGATTTCTGAATGGTGCTTGAAAGGAATAAGTTAATGGACCTCTGTGACTTTCTGGCCTGCACAGGTTCTCAGGCTCCAGAGAGTGGCTTGACAATAGGCTGTCTGATTAGGATAAGAATAGCTGGCTGGCTGCCAAGAGCCTTGCTCTATGCTGTGGGCCTATCCGTTTTATCACTCACATACACTCTGCAGACTCTGAAACTTCCTGTAGTCTGAGGGAGGCAGCAATTCCACAAAAGAATGGGCCTTAGCATCTGAACTCCTAGCTTCAAGCAGCTTCATTGTTGGGGTGGGAGTGGAGGTCCCACACACGCAGTGTCAAACAGATTGATGTTTGGGGTAGGATGTCTTTGTCTTGCTCACCAAAAGATTATCAGAGGAGACGTTCCTTCCCGCCTTCACATCAATTCCAGAAATGGTGCTGCTGGTACCTTCTCCCAGACCCTAATTACATGCTGAATGGTGATAACACTGAGACCCACTTGAACCTGTTCTAGAGAGAGAAGTGGAGAGACCTTTCTCCAGTCACTGAAGGTGAAAGAAACAATCTTTTGCTCAATCCTTTAGCTTTCATTGGCTGAGTCATGGGAGATATTTGAACTATGAGTCCCCCTCCAAATGTTATCCAAGGAGGGCAGAACTTACCCTCCTCAGGGAAAGCTTGGAGCTTTGACATCATGCCCCAACCCCGTTTGCCAAGCATGGTAATTTAGTGAGAGGCCAACACAGATCCTGTCACTGGAAAAAGGGCAGTCAGAGAGAGACTATGAGTCCGGGGACAGAGCATAGAGGTCTTTGATTCAGGAACAGGAAATAATGTCAGATCAGCATTGATTTGCTTTGTAGCCTCAGGCAAATCACTTAACCCTTCTATGCTTAGCTTTACAACCTAGGTAAGAGAGTAATTATAGATAGCTCAGTAGAGTAATGTGAAGATTAATTAATGATTGTCCAAGAGTTTAAATTATAATACGTTCCTCCTTGTAAGTGCTAAGTATTAATAAGAAGTCCCACTTTATACTTTTGACATTATGATTCCAGGAGCCCTGCCAGCTTTTATTGACAAATGCCCAAGCAAAGGCATCTCTGTCAGAGGGCAGATGTGCAAGTGAAAAAGTGGCCACCGCCTCTATTCTACTGGGGGACAAAGGGCAGTGCCTGCAGCCCCAGAGTGGGCCAAACTCCCCCAGGAGGATGAGTGTCCAATGCAATTGGAGGCTACACTAATTCCATGCATCTCTTGAGCATTCTTTTCTAGTGAATTCCTGTGGAGCTCTGGCTGTGATTGAAAGCGTTTCCTCTTCAGTGGAAATTTTGAAAGAAGGCAGGTGAATTGCCCCTGGAGTTCAGGGATATCAGCTGGTGGAAGAAGGGATAATTAACACCAGCAAACAGGAGAATCTAGCTGTCTGTACACCAGATAGTGGTTTCCAAAGATGATGTATCATCTTGGAATTTGGAGCTGCTTTCATGGATGCATACGCCATAAGGTCTATAGAGCTTTTGTCAGCAGCAATCTTGGAAGCTATTTTCTGTTGGATAAGGGCCTAAAGGAAAATTAAACAAATTAGGATGGGCAGTTCTTTTGTTGTTGGTTCCTCCCCCGACTAGAAGCAAACCCCCAAATAATTTTTAGCCTATCTTTTCTGGCTGGGATCATTGTTTCAATTTTTATAGATTTGCTGGCAGGTACACTCTCCAGAATTACATCCCAACAAAACCAATTAAATAATTTTGTACATGCAATTATAGAACTGAAGCAATATTCTTCTAAGGCAGGCAATCAACAAACAAAACAATGCTTTATTTGACAATAAGCCTTGTGTTTGGCATTGCAATCTGAAAGGTAGTAAATCTATAAAAATGTTACTACATCTCCATAAGTACTGAATAATAAAAAGGATGACAAATTTTTATTTGAGGTTTTTTAATGCTCAACAATTACGATGTTTCGGATAAAACTTTTGAAGCGTAACATATAAAATAATGATAAGGGATTCACCTTTATACCGGAGAGCAGAAAATAAAAAATAATACATTACTTCTTTTATTAAAAATCACAAAACTACAGTCATGTTCTCTTAAAGAAGCCTATTAAACTTGACAGATTTTAAATTTAACCAAACTCTAGCTGAATTCCTTACTTGGATGGACCATTAAGCATCTTGGAGTGTATTCTTTACTCAAAGTGAAGGGTGGTGTCATTAATGAAAATAGTGCATAGAGGAAAAGATATTAGTGCCCTATTCCAGGAATGAGAAGACTTTAGCTTTTTGAAGGAAATTAAAATCATGGGCCAAATTCACTGTTATCTTGTCAGTTTTGCACTACTTCAGTTAAGAAGGGGTTTTAGGTTGTTTGCATCACCATGGCAACACAAAGGAATTGAGCATGCCAATAAATCTGGTTCTCTATCTCCACCTTCGTACTCCATCCTTATAAGTTACCTTCCCCAGATCCAACTTAAACTAATGATTATTATTAGCAAAAGCCCACTAATGAACTAAGTTTGTTCATTTGGACAATACTCATTGGCTGTGTCTAGACTGCACCCCTTTTGCGGAAAAGGGATGCAGATTAGACACAGAACAATTGCAAATGAAGCGGGGATTTAAATCTTCCCCGCTTCATTTGCATGAACATGGCTGCTGCTTTTTGCCGGCTCGGGGCTTTGCCGGCAAAAAGCGCCAGTCTAGACAGGGATCTTTCGGAAAATAAAGCCTTTTCCGAAAGATCCCTTATTCTTCTTAAAATCAGGAATAAGGGATCTTTCGGAAAAGGCTTTATTTTCCGAAAGATCCCTGTCTAGACTGGCGCTTTTTGCCGGCAAAGCCCCGAGCCGGCAAAAAGCAGCAGCCATGTTCATGCAAATGAAGCGGGGAAGATTTAAATCCCCGCTTCATTTGCAATTGTTCTGTGTCTAATCTGCATCCCTTTTCCGCAAAAGGGGTGCAGTCTAGACACAGCCAATGAGTATTGTCCAAATGAACAAACTTAGTTCATTAGTGGGCTTTTGCTAATAATAATCATAGGTGAATAGAGAAGGGCAACTAATAAAATTGCAAAGTCTAGGTGTCCTCAGGTATTTCATGAGGACCCTAATGTTTTTCTGACTTACCAAGAGTGAATAGCATAAGTACAGTGCCTCTGCTTTCACGTTCCAGAAACTTCACTGGCTAGCTTGGTTGCTGCAATTAAAAAAAACAGTGTTGCTGTGAGAGGTGATAACAGCTGAGAAACTAGAAAGACTAGGTGGAAACTGAGCAAATGTAACTCCTGTGGCAGGCAGGGCAGCAAAAGCTGCACTTTTTAGATCTCTTTGCCTAGCAGTCCAAGTCTCTGAATAGTCATCCTTGGAGATCCATAGCAAAATTCCACAGCTGCTGACTAGCTAAAGTCCACGGGTGACTTTCACTCTGCTTTAGCATAGAATCCTAGGGCTGGAAGAGTCCTCAGGAGGTCATAGAGTCCAACCCCCTGCTAAAAGTAGGACCATCCCCAACTAAATCATCCGAGCCAGGACTTTGTCAAGCTGGATCTTTAAAACCTCTAAGGATGGAGAGTCCACCACCTCCCTAGGCAACCCACTCCAATGCTTCATCATCCTTCTAGTAAAATACTTTTTCCTAATATCCAACCTAGACCTCCCCCATTGTAACTTGAAGTAACTTGTCATCTCGTTCTGTCATTGAAAACAGCCTCTCTCCATCCTCTTTGGAACCCCCTTTCAGATACTAAAGGCTACTATCAAATCCCTCTTCACTCTTCTCTTTTGTAGACTAACTAAGCCCAAATCCCTCAGCCTTTGCCCCATAAATCATATGCTCCATCCCCGTAATAATTTATGTTGTCCTCTGCTGGACTTTCCCCAATGCATCCATTTCCTTTCTGTAATGGGGGCCCCAGAATTGGACGCAATACTCCGGATGTGGCCTCACCAGTGCTGAATAAAGGGGAATAATCACTTCCCTAGATGTTTTGACAATGCTCCTATTAATGCACCCCAATATGCCATTAGCCTTATTGGCTACAAGGGCACACTGGTGACTCTCATTCAGCTTCTCATCCACTATAATCTCCGGGTCCTTTTCTGCAGAACTGCTGCTTAGCCAGTCAGTCCCTAGCCTGTAGTAATGTTTGGGATTCTTCTGTCCCAAGTGCAATACTCCGCACTTGTCCTTGTTGAACCTCATCAGATTTTTTTTTGGCCCAATCTTACAATTTGTCTAGGTCCCTCTGAACCTTATCTGTGCCCTTCAGGGTATCTACTCGCACCTTAGCTTAGTGTTATCTGTGAACTTACTGAGGGTGCAATCCATCTCCTTCTCCAGGTCATTAATAAAAATGTTGAAAAAAACCAGCCCCAGAACCGAGCCTTGGGACACTCTGCTTGATACTGACCACCAACCAGTCATCGAGCTTTGATCACTACCCATTGAGCCTGATGGTGTAGCCATGTTTCTGTCCTCTTTACAGTCCATTTATCCAATCCATAGTTCCTTAACTTACTGGCAGAATACTGTGGGAGACTGTATTAAAAGCTTTGTTATAGTCAAGATATATCACGTCCACCGCCTTCCCCATATCCACAGAACCAGAATCTCACAATCTGAGATCAGGTGGGCCAAGAGGTCTTCTTTTCTTTAAGAATATTATCATTCCTCTCTCTCTTGTTCCTGTTTTTTCATACCTATTTGTCACAACCTTTGTTAAAGCCGGAGCCTAGATGGAGGATCCTGCCCCATCAAAGAGCCTAAAAAGCTAGCTAGCTTAAAAAGAAAAGAGAATCCTCTGTACTGCTAGTCTAGTTAAAATTGGCCTCTGTTCCCAAGGTTTCCAGTAATGTTTCTTTAGGTATTAGGATCCTCATTTTCAGTGACGTACCCATAGACTAGAGGAACTAGAATGTTAGAGTCTCAATGGGCTACTACACTATAGCTCTCTAGCATCTCTGGGTAATATATATTTAAACAGCATGG